CAACTGTACACCGAACTGCCTGAAATGCGTGACAAGCAGTAAAATTGTGTGCTAGCTAGCGTTTTCAAATCCAAAGAGGTGATGGGGCGTACCTGGCCAGAGTACGGAAGGAGGATTGTGGTTGGTGTGCCTGCGGCGGCGCCAACTGCAGAGGAGGTGCTCATTGTAAGAGTGGTAGGGACAGGTTTCAGTTCCTCATCTGTCAGAGGCTTCACTTCACCCACCTCGATAGTGCCGAGGTTAGTTGCACCGGACACCGTCAGCTGGGCTGTTCGCGTAAGCGCATTTGATGCATTAAGCATGCCAGGAGTGACTATGACGGCACTGGCGTGCGGTCCACACATGGCTGTAGCAAGGGCTGGATCATTCAGCATACTGGAGTCGATCTTGCTGGCCTTCAAAGTGAAAAAAGAAAATAAGACATGCAGAAGAAGAGAGACCGCCGAGTCATTCAGGCTGTACTGAAAAACAAAAGTACACTGAGCTTAATATTTCCGGCAAACCTTCCATAAGTAACCAACACCGCGGTTTGGGAGATCACTGGTGTTGACAAAAAATAGGCCAGAAAGGGGAATTTCGGCGTCGTCAGCTTTATCGGTAACTTTTTTTGATGAGTGACTGTTAATCGCTAGGCGACCATCTACGTGGATTCTAAACCCGGTGGTAAGAGGCGCCACGGAATCATCCCCTACTCCATCCTGCACAGTCAGGATAGATGAGTAGACGGAGTTATTATGTGATGTCAAATGAGAACAGGGGTAGCAATGGAAATAGGTAGTGGAACGAGAAATATGTACTTAAGTGTAGATTCCAAATCTTAGTGTCACATTAAGAATAAATCTGATATGTGCAGAAAAGAAGAACAAGTGGTTTTTGGTTACGAATAAAGAATATAAAAAATGGACAGTCAATATTGTTTATTCCTATAGCTGCAGGTTAAAAGACTGGGAAGAAAAATTCGCAACCATGCAGCCTGCCATTTATTGGTATCAGTTGGGATCTCAAATTCTGAAATGAAACCTTTACGGTCTGCATATCCGGTTCAGAATGTATATATTCCACAATAAACTGAAACAGTCAAAGGGTGCCTTACACAT